CCGATGTTATGAGAGACTGTGAACCAGTGTAATTGATAGCGCTTGCTTACTGCAAGACTGTCATAACTCAAAGAATATCCAAGAATAAGCACTTAAGTTTCAAATTTCTATTCTTTATCGCTTCTGAGTGAGAAATGTTATATATATGCCGTTTCTATCGGGGAAAATCTGAAAACTTTAAACCTTTTTCCAAAGAGTGCGGAATTGCGACTTATCATAGTCTTGCCGTAAGCAAAATATGTATGTATGTATATACAGTAKTGGTGGGGCTTAGGTTAGCGCAAGTTGTTCCTGCRCTCTACTCTAGACTAGAAAGATATCTCGCAGTCGCATAGTCGTTGGTCGTCGAAAAGTTTCTCATAAAATAATTCTTAAGCTGCAAGTAGTCGCGTTAGAACTTGCAGATCTTAAAATTTTGTGTACAGTTACAAAGAGAGCATAAAGACTAGATCGAGGTGCTTGGCTCAGTCTCTAACGCGTTTGATAACTGCATAAGAAGCCCCTCATGACTTTTCCTTTTCATTATTTTTTTAGCAGACTCATAATCTATATTTTTCATTGAACATATTTGTTAGACAGGGACTATTATCAATATTCCTTGTGTTTCGGTATGAGGAATTCATATGTGTCAGCAAAAYATGATTATCTTGTTACGACAGGTTTCACGCTGTTCGCTTAGTTTCAGTATTTCACCAATTCAATAATGTTTTTGGATTCCGAAGTGTACTTTAAGCCAAAAAAAAGTTCGAAACCATGAAGAGCCTTAACTACTTGACTTGAGTTACCTAATTTCTAATTGTAAAATTTTTGGGAGAAATATCACATTCAAAGCAAATGGCATTAAATTAACTCAATATTCTACGCTGGATGGCGTTGAAATGAATTTCCACTATTTCAAACCTTGGTTGGCAGATGTTGGCATATGGAACATCATCTGGCCAGCTCTTTATAAGCTTACCGTGTTTTTATATTCGATCTTCGATATTTTTCGTCAAACTTGCTGAAGCTAAGATTATTTATTTAATTTTGAAATAGATACAAAAATTACAACAGCTTGTTAATATTATTCAAGCATCACAAATTATCCTAATGGTAATATGGCCAAGCTCTTGGGAGATTTTTTTCCTGGGCAGCTACTAACTGGAAAGAAGAAAGGCTATAAACTTAGTTTTCAAGTAAATAATTTATCTCCATGTCTGCATATTGTTTTCTGAGAGACAACCTGAATTTCGTCTCATTACCTAAGGATGAACACTAGCACGTAAACACATTTTATCACTTCAATAAAAAAGGAAGACTGAGCTTTTGGAGGTGCTTAACCTTAGGTTACACAGCCTTATTAGCTAGGCGGGGATACCAAGTTCAAACACAGCGACATATAGACAATTCCTTTTCGTGCTGACAAAAGCGGCTTTAAAACCGATAAAGATCTTCCTTTCATGGATCTTTCTCAAGGTTTGGCCTATGGTGAATAACTGGCCGCTTGTTGATTTTCCAGGCCTAAAGCCACACTGATAAGGTGCACTTACTTTGTTGACGTTGGGCTTTAATCTTTCACACAATACGCTCGATAGAACCTTATATGCGAGAATAGAGTTATGTGTAGAAGTTCACGCAAGTAAGGAAAGTTCTCTGAGCGTCATTCACTTGGGAGTGGTCAGACACGATTCTTGTACATATGTCTTAAGCAGCGCACGACTTCCAGTCTTAGATCAAGTATTATCTGTGTAACCAAAAACCATCAATTTTAAACAAGGTAATGTGAGATGGCCAACATCCCTACACAGATGGATTTGGTACTCGCCACGTAAAAACACGCGTAGAAAACAGCCTCAGATACAAGTAATATAAGTAGATCTTAAAAAAAGATATATATATATATATTTTTTTTTTTGTGTCAAACAGATCGTAGCTCAAAAAAGAAAGCAAATGTTATTTTGAGAGTGATCAATAAACCCATTTTGCATTTATTTTTAGCACATTCATTAAATTTCAAATTTATTTCACACTCCTAAGGATCCTTACTTTGTTCCCGAAATTTTAATTCTAATTCGTTTAATGCTTTTTATGATATTTCTGGGTACAATAGACCATGCGGTACCGGGTCTACATCGAGAGCGGAAAGTTCTGGTGGCGACATTTCTTATGGTCAATCAAATACCTCTTCAGCCGGCAATTCATCATTATAGTAGGGATATGGTTTTCTTGGTGGTGGTAGTCCTTCTTGTGAGTAGGTAGTTGGTCTTTCTGTCATTGGTAAAGGAGGCGGTGGCTCATTTCGGAATCCATAGTTGTAATACTGTGCAGCTACCAACTGGAAAGAAGAAAGGCTATAATCTTAATTTTTAGGTCAATAACTTATATACCTGAATAACCACAACGGCTATAAGCAAGGATAATATCCGTTTCTGCATCATTATTCACTACTCTGTTTTAGATAATTTTGTTTCTATACAAAACAGCGATAAACTGATACTGATACATGGGACAATTATGCAATGTTTTATATAGTTTGTAAAGTTTATGGTAGATATCATAATTATAACTTGAAAATTTTAATTATTTGCCTCACGGTAACTTAATAATGAAAACTTTAACCCACTATTGGACGGGTGTGAACACTTCAAATTTGCAAAACAATAAAGGCTGACTGAGGAGATTGTTAAGTCTTCAAGATAGAATTATTATTTCGTACCGCTTTGCACTCTTTCTATAAGCTGGCTTTCCTCAAAATGTGGTCTAATGTTCTTATAATTCAGGTTGTCTCTCGGAGTAAAATTTATTTAGTCACCAAGTAGTTTTCTGACATGGTAATGCTTCTAAAAACATTTGACAACAGTTTCTACAAATTCCAAATTAAATGTGTAGGACAACTTACCAATTGGCCGATAATATATAGAAGAGGTAAAAGTTTATATAAAAATTTAGAGCTTTATTTAATGATTATTCTGCATAATTAACACAAAATTCGAACTTTTCGAGTTATGGCGGTCTTCAAGTAAATAAGCAGTATAAATTTATTATGGGAATTTGAAGCAAATTTAATTTTAATGGTTATAAACTACGGAAGAATATAAATATAAAATGCTGTTGACTGTAAATCACTGTTTCTTTATCTAAAACGCAAAAGTGATAATGATGCAGAAAAAGATATTATACTTGCTCCTAGCCATGGTGGTTATACAGGTAGATAAATTATTTACTTGAAAACTAAGTTTATAGCCTTTCTTCTTTCCAGTTAGTAGCTGCCCAGGAAAAAAATCTCCCAAGAGCTTGGCCATATTACCATTAGGATAATTT